AGAGAGAGAGAGATAAAAGTACTAATTAATCTCAGCTATGGCCTAATCCAGCAARAGCAACACTCTCTCTTACATAGTGTACCCGGATTAACCCCAGATGTCACTGTAATACATGGGTTAAACTTAGCTCTCACTTAAACTGTTATAATTCCAGAGTAAGGTCATGGTGCTGACAGGAGTTATTCTAAACTCACTCTAGTAATAGAACAGAATCTTTATTATTTTATACCTTTTGCCTCTCTATCCCATGGATTACATTCTGCCTGCACTAACAAAGTATCTGGAGTAAACATCAAAATGCTTGCACAAGCAATAAGCCATTGTTCCTGATGCAAAGAGAAATATTTAATGCTTGCAAGCTGCATGAAATTTCTTTCCTTCTATATTGCCCTCCTTTCCTAATATTTCTCCACCCCATATTCTTACAGTAACTTTACGCCTCTATAAACTCACATCACTTATTTCATCTATTAGAACAACAACTSTTAACAGCACAAGCTTCCTCATGTACTAAAATTCTTCTTTATAAAACTAGCCTTTGTACTGATTTATCCAATATTCAAGTGAAAATATCTTCTTTTAAGTCAGAGTAACATTAAACTCAGTACTAGCCCTTATCCACCACTTTGTTACTCAAATTTGATGCTGTGCTGGTACCTGCAGTGTGCTCTGTAAACTCATCTTAGTACTGAAGTAGCACAGTGAAGAACCAGRTACATTCCTTGAACTTTAAATTTGRTTCTTGCTTTCACTATTTTACTTTTTCTTGGTTTTCCCCCTCTCCTCATTTTTACTCTTGGCTGTGACATTTCCTGAGACTAAGGAAAGATCACATAATATTCTTTTTTGTCAGTCCTAAAACATAATGTGCACAATGTTGTACCTTCACAGGTGGTCAGAACCACTTTTGATTTCCTCAAGAAAGCCTCTTAGAAGTCTTTCTCTGATCAAATTTCTAGGTTGCACACCTTTGCCCACTACACTTTTTGTACTTTTTTTTGTTATGTCTAGACAGAACAAGACAGCTTCCAGTCATTCTTACTTTTCTAAGCACCAGGTATTTGAGTTTTAACTCTTTTTAATATACGCTTCAAGTTTAGCAATTTTGGTAGCTTGGCTGGTTTAAATTTAACATTTTTTGCCCATACTTAATAATTATTCTCCCACCGGGGACTTATCTTCATAAACACTCGGACCATGATGCGCTGTACACATCCTTCACCTACTCAGCTGTGGCAGCAGATTTGAAAGGCTTAGCCTTTCAAAGAATTTRGAGAGGGAGCAGAAATAGTCATGGTGCCATTGGAAATACTTGTGGTTGATTGACTCACACGAGGGATACATTTGTTACAAAAGAAGACATTAAACAGCTGAAGATACAGTGTTTTTAACCATCACCCACAAAAGAAAATGACAAGAACGTAAACCCTTGTTGCAGTTGTGATCAGATTTCAGCACGGGGAATTGCACTCCACTTAACCAAGTTATCTTGTTACTGGAGCAGGAACCCTGCCAGCCTYTGCTCCTCCAGTGTCAGCTGCTGGTTGTCACGTTCCATGCCAGACTTAGCAGACTTCCCTCAAAAAACAATTTCCTTTGTTTATAATTCAGCAAGGTCCCTTGAGCTTTTGCTGGGCTCAGGTAACMTAAAGTAATTTTGTATTTTGCCACTGATTCTAGAGAATTCCAGCCACGCATTCAGAACTCAGCAGTGCATCGAGCAGCATCTCTAAGGGCTGCAGCATACCATACCTGTTCTGCAAAGAACTGGAAACCTTTATCTTCACGAATACATTCATAGGTTTCTCCAAGCACAGGATTAAAGGGTTTACTTCCAGCTCGGTAGTAACTGGATGCATACGCAGAGACTGCAAAGGCAGCTATGTACACCTGGGAAGTACATGTTTGGGACTTTGATTAATTCATTTACAAYAGACATGAAAAAATAAAAGCAAGTTTTATCCCGGTTCTGTATTTTCCCCTCCATATACAGACTGACATGCATGCCCCCTGCAAGTTGAGCCCCAGTTCACACATTAGAGAATTACTCAGTTTTCAGAGTMATTCAGTAGGCCAGGGACAGAATTATTAGGGTCAAATACTGCAGATTTCAGAAACTGAAAACAACAATTCTAAAGTGTTTGAAACAGTTTACATTCTGCAACACAACTCAAAGCAGTAACCTTAAAAATCACTGTTATATTTTTTATAATAACTGGTTTTTATAGTTATATCTGTGATTCCATAAATCTACCTCTTCATAAACAGGGCACAGGAAGCATTAGAGGAGTTTTCACCAAGTTTTCTATTTCTAATGCTGTTTGACTTACGTTGTTTTTTACCTACTGGGTGCTATTACCTAATCATGAAATTGTGATAATGACTGACACACAGGTAGCCCTTCCAAATTTTTGCAGTCAACTCAAGCATAACATGAGGAATTAGRAACCAGGGGTGTTAGATTCAAGTCTCTTTTTTTTTAACACTTTTTTTTCTCTTTTCATTCCTTTTTCCTCATGTTGAGAAAGCTCTCAGAAGACAAATCCACTGCAGACTGGCTCCTTTATGAACAATTGCAATTACTGTGCAAAAGCTAGCATTAAATTTTGTCTCAGGAACTTCTCAAAGGCAAAGAATACACCAGTCTGAGGTAATTTCCAGATACTTGGGTGTGGGAAGAAGGGAAAGGCTTCTTCTCACTCCCTTCTGAACAACTACTGCTCATTTCCTTTTCCTTTTAGCATATGCTCTCAAGAAAACAAAAAAAAGCTGTGGACTGAAAAGCCCAATGAATGGCCACACCCAGGAAAGAGGCCCTAAATTGTAACCCTTGAGAGTGTCAGAGTGAGGAAAGAGACTTTTCCATGACTACCTACTTTCATTAATAACCTCATTTTAAGATAAGATACACTGAGTTGAAAAGGCTTAATTCAGTTTGTGGGAAAAGCTCTATCTTCCATTTAAGAGAATTTAGGGAGCTTCTAATCCTTTATTTATGGGCTTGCATATTAAGTAGCTCTTGGACACCTGGAAGCAGAACAAGTGAAATGCATTTTTCTCTTTTGCCAAATGCAGAATTCAGGGTTCTGCACTTGCAGAGGATGACACCACTATTGCACCCAACATGCAATCATATTTTCTAGTTCGAGATCCTGTACATTTTGGATAAACCCCAGAACTTCAGAAAACCAGTTAACAAAAAATATGGAGCTCATTTAGTTAACACAGAGATATTACAGTCATGTAGGGCTGGAAGATCCAGTGTCTCTATGTACAAATGTGTTACCAGATCAGACACCCTTGWAAAAGATATATTGTAGCTTTCATCTTTGAGAGGGAATTATGTAAGTTTAGTCCCTGCCTCCCTTTTTTTCTGGGAATTTTTAATATTACAGAGCAGCAGCTACAAAACAGAACTAAGCTCCTTTTTTTTTGTTTAAATTTGCAGATGAGCAAGGAACTTGAGAAGAGAGAGACTTTCTGAAAAAGCAACAGAAATTAAGCAGAAGAGTCACAAATAGTGGCAATATGAGTACCTACAGACACATTTGGAGAGTTTGTCTCTCARCTGAGAGAAACAAAAAACAGAACAGAACATCTTCATTTCTTCAGCAYTGCTTTTATGTTTATTCTAATTCTACTGGATGCTGCTAAGTGTTTGGAATAAGGCATTTACCATGCGCTCAAAGGGGTTTGGTGTGTGTGCTGCTTTATCCAGGAGCTCGCTGTACTCCAGCTCCTCGCAGAGGCGCTGCAGGGTGTTCAGGGGCTCGTTTAACTCCACGGGCATGGCCACTTTGGAGAGATCCTTCCCTATGTTATTTCTCAGGATATTCCACAGGCTGATGTTGCTCGTGTTAGGACATGGAGCTGGCAAACAGGTTCTCCGTTTAGAATTGCAGCCAATTCCACTCTCAGAAATACAATCTGAAAAGGAAGGAAGTGGCAGAACAATTCAATTGCTGAATTTCATCCCCTTTGCAAACATACATCAAAATGCAACCATCTTTTCTTCTGTCAAAACTTCCTTCCACCCAAATTCATTCAAGTATTTCACTTGTATTTTGAAGATAGCCTGTTATAAAAATGACAAAATTAAGAACAGCACTTAATGTACATTAAYGGAGGTAAAATGTCAGGTACAAAAGATGCATAAAAATGACCTTTTTACTTAAAGGCTGTATGAAAAGGCTCAGACTTTCCACTGAATTTCAAAGAGTAAATATTATAACTATTTTATTTGTAACAGGGATGGATTCCTATCTGTTTAGGGGACATAAAACCTCCTTCCTTGACAGAGCTTCAATTAAGTTGACACTTCTCAGAAAGTGAGATATAACTTACAGACGCAAAGATAATAACAACTCCTACTGATCTTCTCCTACTTTTTTCAATACTCCTGCCAGGGAAATTTACTGCTCCACAAATTTACRTGCAGGCTTTTCCACATGGCTCCCCATAGCATTTAAACATAGCAATATTACTTTGAGGTATGCCCATACATTGATGGAGAAATGACATGYTTTAAGGGTGGAAAAGCTGAAGCAATTGTGGAGCTATGGGTTWGCTGAAGATGAAAGAAAATAAAAAGACTCAAGTCAGGAGTTCTTGACATGAATATCTGAAGTTTGTGTTGCTATATCAAAGCAATTGGAACAGGATAAATAGTTTGAAGTGTGCCATGAAATGATTTGTAGCAAAATACAAATAGAGCTACAAGTTTCTGCAACAGGCACTMGTCTCAAGTGATTGCATTGCTTGACTATACATTACTTTTGTTTCAGAGAGGAATGTGCTTGCCACTACAAGAACATATTTTATCTTTACACATCCTTATGAGAACCTGGGAAGCTCCCGCCTTGGGATCAATTACTATTTGGAGACACTCAGGCACAGTCTCAGTCTGCCAACCCAGGACCTTTTCTGGCTTTCCTCACAGAGCTCTGTCTTGAGGGAGTTTCTGTGCTGCACWTGCCTGTGCTGCACCTGCCCTTAAATGCACGATTTCAATGAGTATTTCCTCTGCTCTTCCATTGACAGAAGCACGGTGTCAGCAGTGCTTCCAGCAGTGACAGGTGACCACAAGGACAAACGTCTCCATCCCTGCCATGCCTGCTAGCCCATGCCTCACGTGGAGGTTTTCAAGGGTAATCAGTAGCCTCATAGTTTTGAGGAAGAAGTTTCCATCTTTCCTGCCACTCGCAAACTAGAAATCCTAACATCTCATATGACTGAGTTACTCCAACAAGATCAGGTGAACTATTTGCAGTCCCTTGCCTGTATCTTTCTTTTGTATAAACCTATGTCTTTTGACAGCTTCTGATTAAAAGCAGAATACCAATTCACTCTTTTACATATTCTGGACCAACCCATTAATTGAAGTAAACACCTGAAAAAACAGAGTAGAGCAAGTACTACAATACTCAGATACCAAATTTTCTAAACAGTGAAGTTTGCCCACCCTCCATTAGAGAAGAGCCCAAGCAGTTCTGGTGTGTAAGAGTTGTGAGAAATAGGATCAATGCTGAAGGAGATTTAGACATCTGACCTCCAGCTAGTCTCAATGACGTCCAAGGCCAAACTGGACTACGATCAGCATCTGGTCTGACCTTCTACATTACAGTGGCAAGAGGATTTTATCATAATCCCACAATTTATGGTACAGMTAAAGCCCTGTAGGTAAAAGACATCCAGTTTTCTATTAATGGCAGTGGCAGGCTGCCCAAAGCACTGAAATAGCAGGTACCAGAAGCGTGCAGAGGTTCTTCTAATACCAAAGAGCTTCAGAGACAGTCTTTGCTACAAGAAGATGAACAGCCACRTTAATGCAGTTTTCTAAGGTTCCGGATCATGAGATAAATCCAGCAGYAGTCTTTCCTATCTTAAAAAAAAACGAACTTCATTCTGTACTGTTAGAGAATATATATCAAACTACMCAAGTTCAGAGGAATCTGCTGGTCCTTGGAGAACACCAGGGAATAGCTGCTACTAAGAAATCACTGTTCAGCATTTTTGAATATAAAAATATATTGTTAGAGTGGAAAGAACATTGTGGTTAACTGAAAAGATTTTAAGGCACAAAGCCAATTAGGTTGCAATGACCAATTCCTCTCCTTTTTCTGAGTCCCTTTCTAATTAGAAGGACAAATTAGCATATGTACGAGCAAGACTATTATGATTAAAACATACAAGAAAGAAATTCTTATGGTCATACACCAGGCCTGCCAGTGTGTAATTATTCTCACRTTCCTTTAAACACTTCTGCTAAAACAACAGGATTCAGAATGYAGTGCTAAATTGCAGACTGAAAAAATGGTGTGACAAGAAGAAAATTGCTTCTTGGAAAAAAGGAAGGAGTTGCTGCCTTGAAAAATCCCATGGCCATACGGAACTGAGAGGGGGTGGGAGCTTCATCAAAGAAGCCAAGCAAAGGTGTTTCCCTGCTGATACAGAACCACCATCCTGCTTCATCAGCAGTGCCCAGATAAGCAGATCAGCCAGAATCAGCTAATCAAAACCAATCTGAGCCTATATGAGAAAAAACACWGGCTGTTTACATCTCAAAACCTGTAATATCTAATTATCTAGTAAGAGAAGAAAAAAAGTATCCTAAGCAAACAGAAACAAAATTCTCAAAGCATTGTATAAACATCCCACTGAACTTACCTAAAGTTTGTCTTTCATTCTCCATGTCATTGCTTAGGTTATCTTCTGAAACATTATCACTGATATCACTTACATATGAGTCATCATCTGATACCTGAGTGTGGGGTGGGGAAAAAAGAAAGATAAATCACTCATTAAAATAACCCCACATGCATGTGGAAATTATTACTTTCAGCTGCAATTATTGTTTTAATATATTTGAATCATATGTGTTTCAGTACTATAGAAAAGTACTATAGAAAAGTACTACAAAGTCCTAAGAAGACACAACTGAGTTTGAGAGAGATCACTATAATTGAAAATTTAATTTTAGTCGAGTTAAATTCATCTCCTTGGCCTCACAACTAAGAAGGCTTTTCCTCATATCAGAAGCCAAGGTTTYCATGCAGCCCAAGAGAGAAGACAATCATCTAATAAAATTCAATATGCATGACATCAGCCTCAAGGTACCTACAGGCACCAAAAGGACAGGTATAAATAAGTATTTCTGTGATGCAATTCTCTCAAGGCAGACAGTACAAAGTCTGCARTATCTGCACACTAACTACTGAACTGCCATCTGCCTTGTTGTGGATATAAGACTTCTTTGTAATAATTGCTACCTTTTACAGTGAAGAGACAATGACAACAAATAAATATAAAAGTCATATTAATTTCTAAATGTTCTGGAAATTCAAATTTTCTGGCAGTCATCTGATGTACAGTTAGCCCTCAGAAAGATTGCATGCCAATCAGCAGATAAGAAAATACATCTGAATGATGTYAATCTTCTTGCTCAGACCTCATTTTCTGAAGAACTAGCGGACAGTAGGACTTCCTGTGCATCAAAAAATTCTGTGAGAGAGTCAGCTATAGACAGTCTGCTTTCATTGGAGACCTGGTGAACCAGACCTCTGCCTTCTTCTCTTGAATTTTCCTGTTTAAAAGAAATAAAAAAATGTTTTGAGCAGGGAGGTACTTCAARCAACATTCATGCATGCAATTCCACAATCTCCTAACTTGAAGGGCTGTAAAACACTGGGAGAAGATTGCACATGCTCCTCTTCAATTTACATCAAAGTTAGCATGTGCTTCAAATTGGGATTTAAAACCAAAGTAAAACACACCAAAGAGAAGGAAAAGGAAGGAAAATAAAGCAATGCATGTTGAGTAAATCATCTAAGGTGCTGCATGTAAAAATGCTTTGCTATTTGAATGATTTAACCAGATATATCCAAGTGATCATCAAAAAGCCCACAAAAGAACAAAACTCCCACCTCTTTATATTTACACCTCAGATTCCCATTCCTTTCTGATCTTACCAAATAATTATTTTTTTCTTGTCAGGCCTTGCTTAATGCAAAGCCTACCATAGAGTAGTGTACAAAATTCAGGGGTGTAAAGTTGCTTTCTTTATAATACTTTGTTTTCCTGACTATTCACTGATTTTTTTTTGTGCTGTGCTTTGGAAAGCATTCCTTCATATCCACASCTGAGATATCTCTGTGTTACCCAAAACCAACATAGTATCAAAACCATGTGACCAGAATTGCTTTTGCTGCTGGAGGCATGTTTGATTGCCTTGGAGCTCTTGATAACTCCTTCTACAGAAGCTCTGCAGATCATTGGTGTCAGCAGAGCTCCAACAAGTGCCCTGGCAAAGGTGGGGTGACCAGTGAGAATTCTCATTCTGTGCTGGCAGTAAAAAAGTTGGAGAACTTTTTGTGCTACTGTTTTCTCTGATAACTCCAGCAAGGCAAAGGAAAGGAGCTTTGCTGGCCCAAAGGAGTGTATTAGCTGCTCTCAGGATTTTCTGCATGAGATGCTTTACTAACTTGTAACCATGACTTCCCTATCATAATTTTCCAGGAATTGTAGTGGGTTTTTTTTTTTTTTCAGAACAACATAATGAACAGTCTGACAAACGAATAATCAAGCTGCCAAACTTTCTTTCAAAGTTTTTCTGTTGGTAGGTTGTGCTATCGTATGGAATGTTATTCAGTGCATGCTGATAATGGTAACATGGAAACAAAACAAACTTCTGTACAAAAGACTTAAACAGCCCCTTCTGATACAGCAAGAATAAAAGAGAACCTCAACACTGTCCCCTCTGTAGGAAGGCATTTACCCTAGCCTAGAAGTTAAAAAAACCCCAAAAAACTAAACAAAACAAAAAAACACAACTCAACAAAAGCAAACAAACAACAGCAACAACATCAAAAAAAGAAAAAAAACCAAAAAACAAACAAAAAAACCCCACACTAAACCCAGAGCTTACACATGTAAGCATTGCTACTGGGATTGTTTCCAATACTGTTTTGAATCTGAGAAGAAAAGTGAGCAGGAAAGAACATCAGGTTTTTGTACCCAACACATAAGTTTCAGGGTGCCTTGTTCCATGTTACCACTTTGGCATGATGAACTACAAGCAAATCACCCAACAGACAAATGGAACTTTTCCCTTGTGCAAAGGCTTGAGATACTATTTTATACTGCTTCAATTTTAATAGGTGTATCATGGCACCTGATGGTGGTGGCCCTGCCTTCCTCAAAGCAGCATTACTGTATCACAGTCCTTAGACAATCTTAAAATGAAACTTCTCCAGTATAAGTGATTTCATCCCAAGCCATGCCAGAGGGAATTTGTGAATGAAACCTCCCAAGGACCTTCTGAGAGCTATTTTTGTCGTGTGCATTTCTATGTGTGTAGAGCACATAGTTTCAAAAATAATCCAATGTCATTGCAATGACCTCCATTAAATAAGAAAATAAAAAACTCCTGAAATTAAGTAATGATGCTTTAATGCTTTTCTGGACAGCAGTTTAAGTGCTGTTCAAATTCTCATGAGTTTTAAATCAAAAGGCGTTAGAATGATCAACTACCTTAAGGAAAAAAACCAAAACTGAACAGCTAAATATGACCAAAACACAGCTCCACTAAAACAGAACTGAACCAGAAGTGAACAGATGGAATCTGTTCTGGAATGACTAAACTGTCTTTAAAAATAAAAGGAAATAATTAGTTACATAAAAGCCCCAGCATTACATCCACTCAAGTTCTAATGAAAGATTTATACTACAAGCACAGCAGAGGTTTCTATATGAATTAACATCTAGGAAAATCCATCAGAAATAACAGTGCTGGCTTCCCTCCCTAACACCATTAACACCTACATCTTATGACCTATAATTACACCATATTCACACGCATTCTGCAGCGAGCCAAAAAACTGTCAGAGCATCAGTGGAATCTCAGACAGGCTAACTGGATATAGAAGACTCCCTGGTTTCACACAAAGAAAACTAAATGGCTGAAAGGGCTCTTGTATGTGCCATTAACTTTGATCCCTKCATGGAGATGTCTGATAATTGTTCTCAACCTTACACRAGCCARCATCCTGGGCTAACAGCACTCAGAYGRGCAACAATAGACCTACAGAACTTGAAAGTTAACAAGGGACTAGAAGGGCAAGAGAAACAATAGCACGAGGGTGAGGAGGTGGCAGCTCTGTACATGCTGGATGAAAAGCTGGCAGGAGGTGAGGCAGAACACCAGGAACCAGCAGCAAAAAGCAATGGAAGATGGGCTCAGGAAACCTGCTCGCAAGGGAAGTCTCTGGAATCAAATATCACACAATGCATCAGCAGAAATGACTCACAAGCACGAAAGCAGACTYGCTTTGCTAACACACCGCACCACAGGGCAGACACGGAGAACAGGACAGGATGCAGCTACACAGCACTGCCTAGGTGTAGGGGCTGGAGGAACGGACATCACTGAAAGAGGAGATCCATACCCACCTTCACCAAATCTGGACTTGATTTTGCATTAGATGCTGAATCAATGATCTTAGATTCGGCATGTATTCTGCGTAACCGGTCTTTAAGATCTGTGTTTTGTGCTATTGCCTGGAATATTTAACAAAAATATTGGGGATATAAAGTTCTCTCAACTAACTTGAACGTGGCTTTATTGTATAAAAAGGGGCAAAGACTATTTAAAGTGCAGTATAAAACACCACCACATCATCATTTTTTTTACTGGTTCAGCAAATCACATATTATAAATGCTTCATACCTCATTCCTTATCTCTCAAATTAAAACTATTTTTCTCCAGTGTGAGGAAACAGATATAAGTGGAGGAAAAAAAGCCAAAGACAGAAGGGATATTATACTTGTCAAGCTCCCTTCCTTCACCCCTATCKCCAACATAGCCTCTCTCAACATCAGTTCTTGCCACATCCAAAACCATTTGATTTTCCCATATGGGCAGTTTGCTTTGCCTTCCAATGACAGAGAAATAAGACATGAATTCACACGAGTAACAGGTACAATTTCTGTCCTATCAGATTATAATGGCAATGGTCAGAATAAAAAGCATCTACTGCAAACTCATGTTTGTTACATGTTATTTACTTATGCTGGGTGCATCAGATAGATGGATATCAATTAGAGTAAGTAGACTTGTAGGAAGAGAGCACAACCCTGCAATGAAAATATTTCACAAATAAAAGGYTGTGTTACTAATTTTGGAACAACACTGCAAACTTACATCCCATTTTAGTGAACTGAATCAATACCAGAATGTGGAGAACCCTGCTGTTCACACATCCGCTTTATCCCACAAATGCTTCTGATTTTAGCAGTAATTTCTGTTGAAAATGCTCTTGGGGACAGGAAAGACAGGAAGCTCAAAGTGATGAAGGAGGGGAGAAAAATAATTTCTGATTTTACCTATATGTGGTCTTAATTTGCCATAAATATATACATCCCTTCTGTGTCAAGTGCTCAGCACYGTGTTAAACCCTCAACATCAAGTAGGTACAAGTAATAGCATCTTCCCATTTTCATTATTTGCTACTAAATGTTTTCTTCCTGCTGTCTTCCTCTTCCCCCAAACCCAGAAATATTGTACCTTTTCCCATTCTGTATTSCCTCTTCTTAGAATGTGTGTAAGTCAAGGATCCCATCTTAATGAGGGAGAAGCAGAGGCAGATATGCTAATTTTGTGGTGGCTTATCCACTTTAAATCTGTTCACTTTGCTTCCCCTGCCAGGCTGATGGGAGCAAAACAGACTTATGTTTGATAGCCTTCAACCTGTGAGTTTTTTTTCCTTTTTCCTTTTTTCCTCCTGTKTGGAAAACAAACTCGAACAACAACAAACAATAAGCCAAAGTCATTAAAACAGGACTCTTGCATGGATGTCTTAAAAATATGTTAAGTTTATCATATCCATGCTTTTTCAAAGGAAGCTCATTCCTTTCTCCTACAGGATCTCTGCTGTACAGGGTGAGAAAATTTCTGTTGGCATCATCTGCAGATTAAGAAGAGCCYTCAAAGGTGTTTACCTTGCTGAGACAGCCAAGGTTCACAGATGACTTCTGGAGGGGCTACAAAAGACTAATGAAGTATCAAAAAAGACCTAAAAGATTTATTTTTAAAAGACATATCCAGGATGAAGATGGAAAACTGAATTTCACTGTCCAGAAAACAAAGTAATTCATGCTAAACTGAGTGTTCACTGAGCTCAGCAATCTTAAAATTGGTTCTCAGATATAAAATGACAGACAACACTGGAAAAATAAAAGTCACCTATTAAGAAGTGGCACATCTGAAAGCCAAAAACAAAGAAGTGCAAGTGAGTGAGTACAGTTATTATGCAACAGGCTTGAACTTTCTCTAAATACTGTGAAGACATCATGACCTCTAAAAGTCTGGGCAAAAAGGCTTGTCATAAACACTAYAAGCATATGCAGTTTTTGTAAAGCAAAGGGATGATTTTATACTGAAATAATTCTAAGATGATCGACACCACATTGATCAGGGCCTGAGTCTCCCCTGCCTCTGATGTGGTGTTTGCAATAAACACTGAAATTTTAAGGCCGTGCTAATGACAGCTCTTRTTGCTTTGAAATCATATCAGTTTGGTTGACCTGTTCAAACTTGACCAATCTGAAAGTTCTGGTCTCAGCCAATTACATAAAGCACACCAACCAAACAAAGAGCACCACAAACACCACCTTTTCAAAGAGGAAAATCTTTTGCCATTCAGAACTCTGCCCTAACAGCTCCATTGCTGCTTTTGAAAGACTGAGAGATAATTGAGGTTGCAAGTAAATATAAACAAGTTGTACTTGAATTTGCTTTCCAGTGCCTTGGTGCAGCACGGTGAAGCTCTGGTGCATTAGAAGGGACAGCTGAGTGCAGTCAGCCACGCTCACCTTTATTTTATGCCAAGTCATACAGTGAATACTCATATGCTGTTTAGGTAAAGAAAAGGAAAAGGAAACCTGCAACCCATCAGAACTGAGCAGTAGCATGTTTAGAAAGAAAATAGACTCAGTCACAGAGCAGCCCTTTGGTTTTTAACATCATGATACAGATTAGACTACATACCTAAACCAATCTAGCAAATTCCAATCATTTGAGAGTACCTTTAACATTTAGAAAAGTCTTTGAAAAGTACAATCTATCATAACTTACTATGATTAAATGCTGCAAATTTTAGTGCAGAGCTGACACTAAAGAAACAGAAATTAACCAGTATAAAATGTAAAAGTAGAATGTGGTGACAATGAAGCTTGGTGAGTTCAGCATGTCACTTACAGATGTTAAGGCATTCTTCAAGCCCACTATTTGTGCAGATGGAGATGAGGATGCATCGTACTCCAGCATCTGCTTCAGCTTTTCTCTCTCTGTAGATATGGTGCTGAAAGCTGACCTCAAGGTGAAGTAAACTGGAACCATTTCGTAAAAAGGGACAGTTAAAAASAGTTGGTGCCAATTGTATCCACACCAATTACATAAAACTCAAAGCATCATTTATGGTGACAGAAACAAGAATTTAGGTTGAGAGATCCAGGGTGGGTTACTAAAAACAAGTAATATTAATMAAGGTTATAGGGTAGATTTTTAGTAGGAGACATGTTTATGGTGAAGGCTACAGTGTTGACTATATTAACCACAGTCAAAATTACTCTGATTATTTGTGACARATGGCAACAAGGCTAACTAACCACATCTGCTCTTCACTTGCTTTTGTTTCCCAATTAGCTTGAATCTTCAGATGGCCATGACTCTATTCCATACTCCTCTATAAATTCCAGTGGGGGAGAAGAAGAGACGAAATAACAAAAATCAAATAGACAAAAAAAAGTCACCAAAAAAAAAAAAAGGCAGCTATAACACATACTGTGCCACAGCTATAAGGTTAATAGTTTCTCCACAAGCAAGTCAACTGTGGTGCTGTGTTTTGTTATCTCTTTCTGTGATAAAGAAATTTCAGCTTGTTAGATGATTTAGTGACTCAAAGGGTCAGATCCCAAGTGATGTGCATGTTATGCTGCTACTTCTACTCTTTCCTGAGGCACTATCACCAGCCCAATRCAGTTAAATCAGACAACAGATCATGCAATTTTAAAATCACTAAAGGGGATTTTTATAAGGGAAATGAACTTTTAATTTTTTTTTACTGTTAAGGCATTTAATCTTCTCTTTAACCACAAGGATTAAAAACTTATTTCAGCAGTATTTGTTAATATAGATTTTAAACATGCATCTAAAGTGGAGCAGTTGAGGATTTCTGAGGGCCTAATCAAGCCCTGTAATGCAGTCATGAGACCTGCCAATGCAAAAATKAATCCATTCATTGGAAAATGAAGATAGAAAGTCTGAGCATGGATGCATGAAAAGGGTAAAGATTAAGAAATTCCCAATACTTCCCTCTCCTAATCATCCACTCTGAGATAACCCGAATCATCATCACTTCATTGACTAGTTACCTAATTTAGTCTTCTAAAAATACTRTTCTTAAGGTATATTCCAACACTGCAAACCATTACCAAAGCTGATYCTCATACTATCCAAAGAAGTCTTTAATAGTATCACAGGGTGGGGAGGGAGATATATCCACTATGATCTATTCTGTTAGGCTTTCATATGTGGGTAAKAGAATCTTCAGTGACCTTCAATGACATTTAGTATATTTTACACTATCTTTACTTTTCAAGAATTATTACCTATGAAACTAGTGCTACATTTTATTTAATTTGTATCAAAAAGGTGGCAAAAGAGTCTTCYCCACTACTCTTTCTTGGAAGGGGTGTGCTATAAAATGACTTTGAGAAAAAATTCTTTATTGTCTTAGCAAAATGACTCTGCAGTCAACGGAACCRAGTTAATGGTCCCTTCAAATGTGTGGATCAATCTAACCAAAATTTCTGTCATGGTCAATTCCAGTAAGATAATCTTGAGTAGGTGACTTTGTCCAACTGTGTCCCACCCTCACTCCTTTTCTTTTTTTGGAAAACATACGTCAGTTTTGACTCTAATTGACTTTATGAAGTTTACTACTTAGATACATTTCCTACATAACAGAATCAAGATACATCAGCACCAAAGGGGAACRRCAAGCAAAGAATGCTTATTGATAAYATCAACCATTATCATGTGCCAATGGGACAGAGCCAATACTCCCCAAAGCCTTCCAGCWATAAATCCTTAAGTGCCTCCCTCAATGAGATCACTTAAACAATAAAAAAATTTCTGGTGCAACAGTGATGGAACAAAGCACTGCTAATGAAAAATGGTTTTGAAGGAAGAAATATTTCKAGTCAAGCTCCCCCTCTGGCTGCTTTGCATGATTTTACTCTTCTGTATTCACTAAAAATAGGTTACTACCATAGCAACCCTTGCATCACCAACAAATGTTGACTCTGAACTACAGCGAAGYGCACAGAATAKAGAAACATAAATGTGCTCAYRTGCACAYGTGTGCATGCAAACACAACAGAGGACAATCTGCTGTGATACCAGCAACTGATTWTAGGTATTTCCCCCTCTGGCAAAAAATAATACAGTCTAGGCTTTTAGCACATAAAGGGCTGTCCTCTATTACATAAAAAACCTAAAAAGTGGTGATTAAGCCACCTTTTCAAATGACTCAAGATCTMAACACTTACAATCCCTCAAGGAAATAAAAAGAAGGGTGTTGTCTGCTTTACATTAAACAGGAAGCACTCTCAGAAAGTTGTATCATTACCTAAATTGGGATGATATAAAACCATTTACAAAAGACAATTTCATTTACCTTTATGTGCAACATGAAATAAGTCCTCTTGCATTTTAGTAAATTCTGATGATGTTTCAGAGCCATCAGAGTAATTTTTCTCCTCTACAAAATCTATTGTAGATAAGTTTGGATTGGAAGCATGCAGTCTCATAGGGGCAGAAAATACTGAAGGCACCTGTCAGTAAGATAGCAATTTGTGATTTTTTTATAAACTGTAAAGAAAATTTTGTCTTATTGTACCCACCTGCATTACATGTTCAAGACATCAAAAAAGAAAAAAAAAATTACTGTCAATTATCACCTGGCAAATGAAGCCAGAGATATAACTTTACCCAAGATGCCATAATGGGAGATTGCCAAAACTCAAAAGAAACTAGCCCACTGAGAGCTGAAACATATGCTGTATTATTTCCCTCCACTTATAAGTGTCTAATCACATGGCCTCTGGATGCAAATGTGCACAAAACTCTCTAGGGAATTAGCAAAAATCTGTACTGATAAAAAAATCCCCAACAAATTAGAGACAGACTGAAAACAGATAAAAAACATGGCCAGTCTCCTGAAGGTAACAGAACAGATTTTATTTCAGATATCAGTTATAATATATCTGTGTTTTCTCTGATATGTTACCACCAAAAATGCACTAACACAGGACACTGCTTGGAAGGATTTGTATTTCCTAAACTGGTCATGCCAAGAGGTGATCAATAACTAAGTTTTGGAGGATGATAGGCTCTGAAAGGAATGAAGTTACCTGTAACATTCCTTTAGCCTCTTTCCCAACAACTCTGGATCGCCACCTCCTGTGTGATCTCTTTTCCTTCTTTGGGCTTTCAAAAGGTCCAACCTTTTAAACAACACACAGGACAGAAACAATAGAGACTGCCACAAATCTAGCAGAGCTAAGAAATACCTCAATTCTTTAGGATTTGGGGTTGGTTTTTTTTGGAATTGTAAGGGAAAATGCTTTTTGGTTTTGTTTTTAAACAACAAACCTGCATAGCATTTATAGCAGGCGCTGAATATGTCCGGTGAAGAACATCCATGCTCTGTAACAGCTGGTTCATTTCCAGTAAATATGTGTGACAATTGGAGAGGTCTGTTTGGAACAAGAGAATATTTTCAGTTGCCCTAAAGTAACAGACRCACTGACAGTTTTTTATTTTTCTTTTTAGGTTAGTCCTATTTTGATTGCAGCTATCTTAACTTATTCATTGACTAAAAGCATTAGACTGCTGGATAAAAAGGTTGTGTCCTATATTCAAGTTCAAATTTAAAATATCAAAATGCATCTATATGGTGTGCATAATGATCATGGTCTTTTTTCTTAGTTGGCTGCAGAAAAATGAGAATAATGTGATAGTTTCTGCAGTTTGAGATGTGTCAGAKCTCCTCATGGTGAGGGTAAAAATGCCACAGGCATCAACACTGAATTGTGCATTCAGACCTAGAGGTGAGGCCCCTCTGTGTTAGAGATGAAGATCACTGGTAGGTAGAAACAAATAAATATCACATAGACACTGCCAACACAAGAAAGATCTTCATGCTCTTAGGAAAGCATGAAAGCAGAAGGTGACTTTGAAGCACAAAAACTTAGTGCTTTTTAAATTACTTGGTTTTGGATGCTTCCCTTTATCCAGCCTAAGGATGTTCAAATTCAACTACTGAACGTGATGTTCCTATATAAAAGAAAATGTACTGAAATACATTGATTCCTTGAAGAACTGTATCCTACAATTTATACCCCCACACCCAAAATTACCAGTTCTTTTGCAAACAAGTGAATAACCACTTAATCAACAACCACTTCTTTCCTTCCTCTAGTTTCAAAGAAAATTCCAACAGTAATGACTACTTAGTGTGTAATACTCTCTTTGTTAAGAAAAATTAGGGGAAATATTRGGTTACTTTCAACTCTCTTCCAATATCATTACCTCTTGAGCATTTTTCCATGTCTTCAGAAGACTGTAGCCAAGATGAAATCCTGGACTCATTACTCGAAAAAGAAAATGACAAATTACCTCCAGTTGACACTGAATTCTGTTTGGTCAAGCTGCCTGCCTGTTACAAAGAAGAACAAGTGAATTATCAACACACAATATTTTAATGTTGCATGCACAATTCTGACAATGAACAGTTAAGGACCATGATCATGGASAAGGACTGAAGGCATCAATTACATGGAGGGGGGAAAAGTGCATGATTTAGACTAGGTACATAGTCATTGAGTGTATTGCCAAGATGTCTAACATAACTGCTGTCCACAAATGGCAGAAATACTCAAGGAACCATGAAAATTTGCTGAAAAAATTTGRAATTTGCTGAAAGAATTTTGAGGAAGGGCAAAATTCTGCATAAATTAAGTCACCTTAAACCAATTAAAATACTGTATTTGAAGAGGACCAAATTCAGACATTCTGTTCCTTCTCCATGCTCCCCAAAGAAGCCCCAAAAGTAACTTACACGTAACACACATTTGTTAAAGCTATTTTTCAGTGCAAAAGCAAGACGTACTAGATGTCATTAAAAATTTTACACAAGTCTGAATGACTTCAGCATGGATTTGGCTCACAGGCCTTAATACAGAAATGACCATACACCTCATCTGCATAAAGACTAACTACCCTTTTACACCTCAGTAAGCATTTTGAAACTTAGCTCAATTTCAGCAGTGCCCATCATCAGATGCTTGAAGAGATGCTGGAAATTCTGCGTAGGAACTGAGCAGTACAATTAAATAGCTCCCAATGGGAAGAGAATTCTACCCAGTACTATTACYATTTGATTGTGGCCTATAATGCTCTTCCCTTTTCTGATGTAACTATAAATAATAGTTATTATTTCAAATACCCCTTACTAAACCTTTCATTTTCAATAATACCCAGTTCAGGAAGATGCACAAATCACATGCTTTGTCAACATCTTGTTAAAAATCAGTTTTAAAATGTTTCATCCTAGTGCCACTGCACAGCCACTTTACTGGCTATGAGAAAAGCTGACTGAATTGTTTAGCTCTTCTCTGAAGCATACAATTGACAAACTTTGTTACCTCTTGCTCACATTACATCAAAACTCTGGCAGTTCTAATTCTAAATCTATTACTGGGAATCCTCATCGACATCTCAGTCAGCTGCAGCTTTCTTAGTTGGCCTTTTCAAGTTTACAATACAACCACCAACCTGAGCTTCAGAGTAAAATAAAAGGCACTATCCATGTGGTGCCATTCAGTATTGTGTCAGTATGCAACAGCAGTAAGCACCAGTGAGCACACTTGTTTTTAAATTAATCAGTGCAGCTTAGCTGGCTTATTCCTACATAAATCTGTATGAGCTTTAGTCATATATTTAGACTATATATATATATATATATACATGCACACACACATATCCAAATAATAACCTCAGCACCTTTTTAAAAGCCTAAATAAACTGAATTTAATGATGGGCAATTTTATCAGCGTTTTGTGAACCAGTTCCACATTTATCTCCTCAGAAATCTGCCTCACATAACCAACTCTTCCAAAACTCACACAAATGAGTGACATGAGCATGAGGAAGAAGAAAATAGAAATTGCCCAGAAGCAGACAAGAGAGAGCTTGTGTAGCTCCAGTTTTCATAGTTTTGCTTTGGATCAGCATGGCTAAGCTTTAGAATCCAAGGATTCCACATAAATATGCGTAGATACACACACTTGTCTCAATAAAAAACAAGACGTGAAAACTGATCAGGTGTTGCTAAAAGCAAATAAAATGCAACTCGAAGTTCACCTAATATATATTTTTCTCAAAATAACCTAAGTGCTGGGGTGATATCAACTAACACCAAGCTAAGGCTGGTGTAAATTGGCAGACTTCCATTTAGCTTGAGCACAGCTAAGGTGATTAACTGCAGCTTAAGAACTATCCCCTTCTATTTTTCACATGAAAATAAGTAGGGCTTCTTTGCAGTGCAAATCTGGATTAATAGTCTGAATTAAAGTCTTTCATGCCAAAGGAGAAATGGTTAGTTTCCTGACTAACTAGATTTTAGATATGCTGGTCACACAGGTTTTTTTTGGTTTGTTTTTTTTTGGGGGGGGGTTTTCTTTTGAAGGCACCAGCATAAATACATCATGGACATTGCCATATTCCACTTCTGCCCTTGATATTCTTCCCCACTTTTACCCCTGCTGTCTTTCAGGAAAAAATAACTAAATGGCCACAGGAGATCTGCCATTCCCTTGCAGACACAGCCTCAGGAGAKCAGGCTGTCAGAGCCACGGAGCTGCTGGCACACGAAATGCGTGCAGACAACTCTCYGCAGAGCGGCCCCGTTACCGCAGGGTGAGTTATTGTTCTTTCAGCTGCCTGCTCACACAGATCCCCTCCCTCTCGACCACGAGCAAAAAGCTGTTCAGACACATGTCTGTGTTTGCTAAAACTCATACTCAGTTGCAGGATGAGGTGATGAGCTGCAGTTATTGGGGGACAAGCCTACTTAGAYTGTACAGTAATTACAGCAGGAAAAGGAAACTTAGATAGAAGGAGAACAAGGAGGGCATTGCTGCTCAGGAGTCATTCTGGAGGTGGCAGAAACAGAGCCATTTCAACTGCAGTAACACTGAACATTTTCTTTTCTTTTTTTTTTTTTTTTTTTTTTTTCAAAATTTACCAGTGATTTTACATGGGGGCAGAATGTTTTTGGGTGAAGGTCAGTCGCAGTGCTCAGGCACAGAACATGCATCCTCTTCCATGAAACTGCAAAGAGGCCATTTATGGGGCTGGACTGAACACTTGTCAAGTCATTTGTGAAACTAATTCACAGACTTTACCAAAAGAGAAGTACACTGCTGACTGGACCCATCCATATCCACCCACAGCACAGCCYTTGGATTGTTCTGAATAATGCTTCTGCCTCAGTTAAAAATATAAATAGTCTCCCAGTTGATGGCTTCTTGTATAATTCCTATTAGCTATGTAGTCAGCTTCATTCATGTAAAATGGAGAGTGTTTATTAGCTAAAGGATATATGCCAAAATGCTAAATGGGGAAAAAAAAAAAAACCTAGCTGAGTACTCTTCTATGACTAATATTCACCAGCACATATCAGACAAATACTGATATATGTCCCAAAATTTATGAGGATTCTAACTCGAAATTCCCTTTTGAAATTCACTGTGAAAATAAAACTTACTGGAATAAAATAGTGAAAAACTACTACAAAATTTAACAGCATCACAAAGAAAACTGCTTGGGTGTAAATCAATAAATAATAAATTTTCCTCTTGACATTTTAGARCACAACTCAAGTGCCACCACAAGCTTCCATTATGCTTTTTATTTAATGAACAGAAATCAGACTAATTTAATTCCTTATGAAAGCTCATTATTTATAAATAAAAACWATTACCTTTCTACCTGGAGCAGAATCACAGAAACCAGGGACAGAGTCCGTAGTAGTGGACGCAGGGAAGAAAATATTATTGGCGTCGTGAGGAAACATGGAGATTTCATTCTGACGGTACATTCTGTGGTGGCGAAGTTTTGCTACCCATTCATCAAACAGCTCCTGAGACTTCACCTACACAACATTTCAGGGTTTATAACATTCACATTCAAAATAATTAATCCAGAAACTATGGTATTTTGTGCTCATTAGCAAGCCTGGCTGACCTTTGCTGGCAAAATATCAGGAAAGTTTTTCTAAGGATGCTTCTACCAAAATGCATGTTATATGAGCTTAGGCATGACACAAAAGTAATTACAAGATAAAGGCAGGAAAAAAAAACCAAACTACAGTTACTAGTTAAGACTTCCAATGCAGAACACAATACTAGAGCAACTAATTTACAGATAAAAAAAYCCTACAATTTGAATACCCTCCCCCATTTAATTTGTCATTTCTTAATTGTCATTGTTAAGGCTAGGTCAAGGTTTAACTAATTGCAAATAAAAATTTGATTTTGGTGACGTTTTTTAAAAGCATTTATTCCACAAGTATAAATCCCCACACTTGACCATGGAAAATACTTCCTATAGATAAAACAATGGCGAAGATACAACTACTGAAAATAAAAGCACTTGTGCAAGTGAAAAAAAGTGCTGCTAAATATGAGGCATCTTCCAGGTTTCTGTTCAGAAGAGGGTTGCTGATTCTGGGTCCTGAAACAGTTCAATAAGATCTCTCAACTTATAAAGTGTAAAAAAATTTCCTAACACTAAAAAGTTATTATTGTAACTAACATACCTCTTGCTATAAAAAAAAAACAAACAAAAAACAGTGCTCCACCCTACACAGCTAATGTTATTAGTTTGGGAACAAGATTATAATAATCTTGAAGCCTACCTTCAGGTGGTATATCTGCTCTTCCGTATCCAAATCTATACATTTTGTTGATTTCTTTACAGACATGACAGAAAGTCCAACATCAATACAGCCATGAAGTTTTCCCCTCTCTATCTGCAAAAAAAGGAAAAAAAAGGAAAAATGCAATCACTCCAGATGAAAACAAAAGGATAAATATCACCTTCTGAAGTCAACACTTTTTCCCCTTTCAACCTACAGTTTAGAACTGCTGAAACTCTATTTCTTTATACCAACAGTAGGGAATTATTTTTATTTTGGATAAAAGACTGCTGCTTTATAAAGCCATTAAAAGATTTCAGATCACTTACATCAGCTCGGCACTTAGAATACTTCAAAATCCCTCTGTCCAGAAAGAAGTATCTCTGTAACCAGAAACATAGAGAATTAAAAACATAAAAAAACACACCAAAAAAAAACCCAAACAGAAAAATATCACAAACACATCCTCCCCATTTCCATTTCTTTGGAGAAGACTTTTTCTGCTTTTAAGGAACCTTTTTGTCACAAAATAACACCAAGTCCCACTCCCGTGGCATCAAGCTTTTAGGTACACAGTCACTTCCTACCTTGTGCCAGCCTTTCAGAGGCCAYTTCCTCTTTTTCAGCAAGCAGCCCTCCTGCTTCTGTGGCTCCTGGGTATAATTCATTGCTCCCCGGAGTCCTTCTACAATTTCCCAGCTGTCCTGCTTAAACAGAAAATCCAAATGTAGATCTTATTTCTTCCAAAGAACTGAATTGTTAAGAGAGATTCAAGAAGAAGGCTATAAGAAAAAAAGACAAAACCCAATTGATGTTGAAATATAACCAAAGATCCATCTTTACTTAGTTACGCATCACCAGAGCAATAGGATTATTTTTAATTTTGATAGAATCAATACCAATGAAACAAAATACCATTTTTATGACACCATCTTTCATTGAATGTATGCCAAAATTTTATATGTATTTTTCCCTGCACATACATATACATGGTGCGTAACCACAGCATAGTCACAATTTAACAAAAAACCTTCTGTCATCAGAGACAGAAACAGCTCATGTTAAAAGAATAGGTTTTATAGGTTATGAAGCAAAAAATAAGACACTCAAAACCAAGACCTTTTTTCTATAAAACTCTTCTCCCCATACTCACTAACTCAAAGTTTTGTGTGTGGTGTGAATTGCAGCC